GAGACAACACCCTTGGTCTCCGGAAGATCCAATAATTCACAAGTAACTTACTGAACAAATTTCGAAAAGCACTTTCACTATGGCAATTTTCATTAAGTGCTGCCACGCATACATAACCCCAAAACATTTGACTGTTTAAACATGATGACAGTATCTAAGGCTACTTCCTAAGTTACAACACTAAATGCAAAACATTGTTTCCTTATTTTAAAAATTATTAGGAACCTTTTTGTCACAAGATGATAGATAATCAATAAATTTTAAATACCCATGAACATGTTTACCATGTTTAAAAGACAATTTGTCTAGGCCAAGCTCATGCCTATAATCCCAGCGCTCTGGGAGCCCAAGGTGGGAGGATTGCTTGAAAGCCAGGAGTTTGAGACCAGCCTGGGTCACAAAGTGAGACCCTCTCCCATCTGTACAAAAAATAAAAAAATAAATTTAAAACATTAACTGGGCATGGTGGTGCACACCTGTAGTCCCAATTATTCAGGAGGCTGAGGCAGGAGGATCCCTTGAGACCAGGAGGTCAAAGCTGCAGCAAGCTGTGATTGTACCACTACACTCCAGCCTGGGCAACAAAATGAGACCCTGTGTCGAAAAAAAATTTTTTAATAAAAAATAAAAGACAACTTTTCCTCAAATTGCCATTGAACAGATATAAATTTTGAAATGTGAAACATTCAAGGAACAAACTCCTCTGTTCCTTGAAGTTCCCTCAGAGGGAATAAAACATATTCAGAGATTTTAATAAGTTACTCAATTTTTCCTGAATTATTACGGGAGTGGAGGGAGATGAAAAGTTGGTTATAAAATCTATTTTCTCTCTATCTTAATTAATGTGTTCTCTTTTAATTGAAGCCAACGGTGATCTTTTAAGGGATCAGCAGTGCACCTAATATTCCTAGCATATTTGACAATCAGAGTGCATCATTTTTAACACCTCATTCATCTATACTCCAAAAAGCAATAGTCATGAAATAATTCACAATAATAATCATTTCATTTGTTCTTTAATTTCAAAGCAATTTATTAAAATTAAAGAATAAATTTCAATTTAAAATATACTATTCAAATCCAATAAAATATTTCATGTATGAAATAAAATCTGCATTTACCAAACAAAAATATTATATGTCTCTTTTTTTTTTCACTCTTTTGGATTTTAAACACAAATAGAAACACCAAGAGGCCACTTAGAATGACAGATTAAAGTAACTCAGGGGGTTGAGGAGCCATGACTCACGCCTGTAATCCCAGCACGTTGGGAAGCCGAGACAGACTGATCACCTGAGGTCAGGAGTTCAAGATCAGCCTGGCCAAACCTGTCTCTACAAAAAATTAGCCGGGAGTGGTAGTGCCTGTCATCCCAGCTACTCTGGAGGCGGAGGCAGGAGAATCGCTTGAACCAGGGAAGTGGAGGTTGCAGTGAGCCGATATGGCACTGCTGCACTACAGCCTGGGTGACAAGAGTGAAACTTCATCTCTAAATAAATAAATAATTTATTTATTCTTTTTATTTATTTTTTCTTTCTTTCTATGACTATTAAAGGCCAATAAATACATAAATAAAGTAATTCAGACTGTTTCTTATCTTTGCAATCCCATACTGCCATTATTAATTCCAAGACTACTGTGAAACGCAAGAATATGCAGTGCCACAGCACTTGGAAAAAGCCTCCAAAAAATGCTGCACCTTCATGAGCATCTTCTGTGAATGAATACACATAGAAGAGTCCACTGTATGACTGGCTGTATACCTGCAACTGTACCAGGTTAATTTCCAGCTAGGATGCAATGTTTATTAAAGGATAAGTAATTAGGTTGAACACAGTGCCTCATGCCTGTAATCCCAACATGTCACTTGAGGCAAGGTGTTCCAACCCAGCCTGGATAACATATCAAAACCCTATCTCTACCAAAAAAAAAAAAAAAAAAAAAAAATTTAATTAGCCAGATGTGGTGACTCAGACCTGTAGTCCCAGCTACTCGGGAGGTTGACATGGGAGGATCACTTGAACCCAGGAGTTTAAGGCTGTAGTCCAGCCTGGACCAGAGAGCAAGACCTTGTCTCTAAAAATAAATAAGTAAAAATAAAAATAAAGAATAAGAAATTAAAATGTGCTCATTTGAAGCTTATTCAACAGTAAACCCAGTTATCACAGCAACTGTTAAGAACTGGGGTTTTTAGGGAGGCATATTTTATCAAGATTATTTAGGATTGCTAGCATATGATGATTTTTAAAAGAAACACACAAATTTGTTGTGAGTTTGATTACTGCTTTTAAATTCACTGTATCAGTGTATCTTCTTACTGCTTATGTCTAGGGCCAACCATCCCTACCACCATCTCCTTCCTGTTGTGATGGTACTTTGAGAATTGTTCTATATCTACAAATGTAACTTCTTTCCTGACATGATGTGTATATTTTATGTCATGTCAGAAGCTGTATATGAGATATTAATGCTTGCTTTTTTTTTTTTTTTTTGGAAACATATTCTCACTTTGTTGCCCAGACTGGAGTGCAGTGATGTGATTATAATTTACTGCGGCCTCCAACTCCTGGGACCAAGGGATATCCTCCTGCCTCAGCCTCCCAAGTAACTGGAACTATAGGTATGAACTACCACATCTGGCTAAAATTTCATTTTTTTTGTAGAGATAGGGTCTCAACTATGCTTCTCAGGCTGGTCTCTGGTCTCAAACTCCTGCCTTAAGCAATCCTCCCAACTCAGCCTCCCAAAGTGCTGGGATTACAGGCATGAGCCATAGCACCCAGCCAGCTTATTTCTTGATACAAATAACCCCCAAGAAATGTTTTGGGGCCAAGCATGGTAGCTCTCACCTGTAATCCCAACACTTTGGGAAATTGAGCAGGGAGGATCACTTGAACCCAGGAGTTTGAGACCAGCCTTAGCAACATTGTAAGACCCTATCTCTACAAGAATATTAAAAATTAAAAAATTAGTTGGAACTGGGCATGGTGGCTCATGCCTGTAATCCTAGCACTTTGGGAGGCCAAGGCAGGAGGATCACCTGAGGTCAGGAGTTCGAGACCAGCCTGACCAACATGGTGAAAACCCATCTCTACTAAAAATACAAAAATTAGCTGAGTGTGGTGGTGGGCACCTGTAACCCTAGCTACTTGGGAGGCTGAGGCAAAAGAATCACTTGAAACCTGGAGGTGGAGGATGCAGTAACCCAAGACTGCCTGGGTCGGGGGTCTTTTATGCACTCAGAATGGAAAGTGCATGCTGATTGGTTTGTGCATATACAAAAAAGGTTAAAGCAAAGACACCATGAAAAGATGGACACAACAGTATAGAAAACCAGCTAGGAAAGGGTAGGTATGTGTAAAATAGGTGAAGGGTAGGGTCAATCAGAGGAAAGCACATCAAACAGGAAGAAAAGTTGTCAATCCCAGTTTAACTTATAGCTTGGCTTTTGGGCTTCAAACTGTCTTCGGCTTGGAAGTGGGGTTTTGCCGGGACCCACTCCTCTCTGCTTAGGCATTTGGCTGCCTCCTGCCACTCTCAACTATCCCTCTGTATTTCTCCAGGGACCAATCCTGTTCTGAATGGACACATTCTTTCCCAAGGTATCTTAATACAACCCAGCTGTCTTCCTCGTGGTACAGTCTAAGGGTTCCCAAAGCAGGATGCTTAACATAATATCCTGAAAAATTTAAACTATGCAGATGCTCAGGCCCCACCCCAAATCTACTGATTAAAGGTCTCAGCAGGACAAGCCTGGGAATCTGAATTTGAAGATACCTACCTGTCTCCTTTTCCATCCAAAATTTTGATATTTGGACCAAAAACCAAAGTTTGGAAATAGTGTATAAAAAGGCAGTGGAGGCTGGGTGTGGTGGCTCACTCCTATAATCCCAGCACTTTGGGAGGCCGAGGCAGGTGCATCATGAGGTCAGGAGTTCAAGACCAGCTGGGGCAACATGTCGAAACCGTTTCTCCACTAACAATACAAAAATTAGCTGGGCTTGGTGGCACACTCCTGTAATTCCAGCTACTCGGGAGGCTGAGGCAGGAGAATTGCTTGAACCCAGGAGGTGGAGGTTGCAATGAGCCAAGATCACACCACTGTGCTCCAGCCTTGGTGACAGAGCAAGACTCTGTCTTGAAAACAAAACAAAATAAGACTCCAGTGGATCTCTTTAAGGGACCTTTTAAAGAAATGGGATAAAGCCCCTTTGCAACTCTCCCAGCTTCAGAAGTATCTTGAACTTTTGTTAATATGTAGATGATTCACTATTTTCCAGACCCCTATCAGCAGGACACCCAGAGGTCTCTGAAATACCGAAAATCTGAGAACCATTGTTTTCAGGTGGTATTTTCTAAGCTAGAGAAATGTGAAGAATTCCAGGATACTTGCTGAACATAAACATTTCATCTCCCCCACACTTTTTTAGGCCAACCCAAATAGAATCTTCAGAGAGAGGTCTGGAAACCTTCAAATTTAACAAGCCCTCCCAGGTGATTTTTATCGCTAGGCAGATTAGGTAGCACTGCTTGAAGCCAATAATTGCTCACATTTACTGAACACACCCCGTGTGCAGGAGAATGTTCTAAGTGCTTTTGTGTACACTTATTCATTTACTCTTAACAACCCCACCCACTACTGTCTCAGCTTCATCTCACAGAGTAACTGCTTTTTCCTCAACAATCCTTAAGGGATAAATGTTGCCATATGATGCTCAGGGCCATCTCCTTTTACATATCCATAGTCCCTTAAATTATTACAGATTCTGAGCCTTTTTTACCTTGAGATTAAGCACTGACTTAGAGTTCTCTGCATTTTATAAAGCACACCACAAACTTCTTTGCACACATGGGGAGCTACATACATACTGTTTCTTCTAAGAAATCAAAGGGGCTGGGCATGGTGGCTCACATCTGTCATCCCAACAGGTTGGGAGGCTAAGAAGGGAGGATTGCTTGAGCTCAAGAGTTTGAGACAAGCCTGGGCAATATAGAAAGACCTCATCTCCAAATAAATAAATAAAATTTAGCCAGGCATGGTGGCATATGCCTGTAGTCCCAGCTACTAGGGAGGCTGAGGTGGGAGGATTGCTTGAGCCCAGGAGGTTGAGGCTGCAGTGAGCCATGATCATGCCACTGTATTCAAGCCTGTGCAACAGAATGAGATACTGTCTTAAAGAAAAAAAAAGAAAGAAATCAAAGAGTCATTCTGCTTTTTGCCTGGTGCACTTGGCAGTGTAAAATTCTACCTTGATTTTGAAGATGTGGAGATAGAAGTTGGCAGCCAAACCTGCTACTGAACGCAGGGACCTTTTGAATTACGTTGGCTGAGAGTCAGAGTCCAGCAGAAATTGAACCAGGAAAAGGAAAACAGAAAGATTATACAGTTTGGCTGGCTCTGATCCTGGCTGGGGAAGAGGATTTCAGTTCACAAGAGAAAGGTAATAGATATTTTCAGTTTCCTATCACACTTGCTTATCCACGTTTTAATCAGCCTTCTGAGACTAATAGTTTCCAGTTTACTAAAAGCCCATACTCATCTTTCCCTTTCTAATGCCTTTATGCTCGCCTGGACTTTACAATTTGCACATTTTATACTCTTCTCATCTCTGACTATTCAATAACACAAAAGCTAACACTTCCAAGCTTTGTTTCTTTCATTTTCACTCAATGGACACTCAGAACAAATGGGCATGCTAGCTATTTTCTTATCAGCAGTCATCCTAAATCCTTCAACATAGGGAAGCTCTTCCTTACTCTATAATTCAAAATCACTCTATTGAAACTTAAAACACACATTAAGTATCTATAATAGTTCAGGTTTTTCTGCTGGATACTAACACCCTGGGGGAAAAAATGTACCAGTATCTCCATTTGTTTTTTCTCAAGATTCAGTGAGGTTAGCAATTTGCCTAAAGTCATTCATTTGGTTGGGGGAAAAAAAATGTGAAGCTATGTCTGACTTCAAAGTCTATGCTCTTTCCATCATATTGTAATACTCAATGTTCAAGCTCTTTCACCTCAATAAATAAAAAACATGTATACAGGTAGTGCTTCCTTGTACTTGCTATGCTAAGGCCTTGCTAGAAATGACATAAAAACACATGAGGGCTTCTCCTCCTGGCCAAACCACCCTCATTAAATCATCTCTTGATGATTCCAAATCAAAAACCTTATCAACCAAATTGACTTTCCAGAATTTTTTTCTTTTACATAAATATATAACAGAGGATTTGGATCTACAGAATTCTTATATCAGAATCACAAATCATTTGGTGGTGTCTCTGGAATACAGGACTGCTGGTTAGGTGATCTCAGTTTTATTTGTTCTGGAGATTTCATATCCTGTGCAACCTCCTTGTACGGTGCATCTCTGTGCAGTAGATAACTGACTCCAGGGACAGAGGAGCTATATTCTTACGAACAATTGGATCACTCAACACAGGGAAAGCTTTTCCTTGTGCTATACAATGAAAATTACTTGCTTGGAACTTAATAAAGTTATGTCAAGGCACCTTTGCTTAATATTTAACGGGTCTATGTGGGAAGTAAAAAACGTTCCTCTTTAAAGTTTCCTTTCTTGTTAAAGAATAAATCCTAAGTGTGCTAATAACTCTTAGCCCTATCCTATGCAACTCAGACATGCCGTGCTTACAGGCACATAGTACATTCTATGTCCTTGTACTTTAACCAAGATATCTGTGCTGGAAGTGCTCACAAGCATGTCCTAGCTCTCCATTGCTTTTACCTGTTTAGAAAAGTTGTAAGTTGTTAGCCAATCTGGTTTTAGTTTAGATTGTAAAGTCTGGCTCCAGCCAACAGAGATCAAGCACAGCAGTAAGGACAACCCAAATATGTAAGGGATAAATATGTCTGTTTTTCTTTGTTCATTGTACTCTCTGGCAAGATGGCTACCAAGAGTACCCTTCCTGCAGCCCAGGAAGTAAAAACTGTGTTGCTGAAAGATCCTTTGTCTCAATGCTGATTTTTCTTTGTGGCAAGGAGCACGTTTCCAACAGTCTATATATTCTCTTGTCTGTCTTGCATATCCAATAGTATTCCTCTGCTCAGTAATTTCACTCTAAAATGGATGAAACGGCACTGATTTGCAGACCATTTCCAAAACGTCAGGTAAACATTTTTAAAAAGATGGCTAGGCGTGGTGGCTCATGCCTATAATCCCAGCACTTTGGGAGGCCGAGGCAGGTGGATCACAAGGTCAGAAGTTTGAGATCAGCCTGGCCAATATAGTGAAACCCCATCTCTACTAAAAATACAAAAAATTAGCTGGGCTTGGTGGCATGTGCCTGTAATCCCAGCTGCTCAGGAAGCTGAGGCAGGAGAATTGCTTGAACCCAGGAGGTGGAGGTTGTAGTGAGCTTAGATTGTGCCACTGCACTCCAGCTTGGGCAAGACTCCATCTCAAAAAAAAAAAAAAAAAAATATATATATATATATATATATATATATATATATATTTTAAAAAGGTATATGCAGTTAGGTGGAAAAAATAAGTTCTAGTGTTCAGTAGCAAAGTAGGGTGACTATATTTAAGAACAATCTATTATATATTTCAGAACAGCTAGAAGAGAGGACTTGAAATGTTCCCAACACATGGAAATGATAAATACTCAAGGCATTTATCATTGATGAACACCCCAAATACCCTGACTTAATCATTACACATTCTATGCATGTAACAAAATATCACATGCACCCATAAATATGTACAAATGTTATGTATCAGTTTTTTAAAGGAGTATACGAATTTGTGTTCTCTACCTTAGCAATCATTATAAGATCGTCTTTCATCTAAGAAAAAATGTGTAGGTATCAGATGGAGTTCAGGTTCTCTGTTCACTCAACTGCTAATTTCTCAACCTACACAACCTGAACCTGCTGACTTTTCTCCCTTGCCACCACCTTTACCTTGATTCTTGCCCTGACTATTGCAATAAGTTGTTAAATCTTGCCTTACTGCAGCATATTCTCAGCACAGCACGGTGATATTTCTAGACAGCAAATCAAAGGTTTTATTTGTTTATTCTACTGTTTAAGATACTTCACCAAATTTGTGACAAGAATGTCCAAACTTCTTGTCATGGCCTACAGGATTCTACAGGGCCTAACCCCTGCCCACATCTCCAACTTCACCTAATACCTCACTGCATAAATATCTGTTGAATGCATGGATATGTCTGTTCTCATGCTAATAAAGACATACCCGAGACTGGGTAATTTATGAAGGAAGGAGGTTTCATGGACTCACATTTCCACATGGCTGGGGAGGCCTCACAATCATGGCAGAAGGTGAATGAAGAGCAAGGACATGTTTTACATGGCTGCAGGCAAGAGGGCATAAGCAGGAGAACTGCCCTTTATTAAATCACCAGATCTCATGAGACTTACTCACTATCATGAGAAGAGCATGGGGAAAAACTTGCCCCTATGATTCAATTATCAGATCCCTCCCATGACACATGGGGTTTATGGGAGCTACAATTCAAGATGAAATTTGTGGGGGACACAGTCAAACCATATCAATGAATAAGTGAATAATGCCTTTCTTAATTTTTAAGATACATACTGGCTTCACTAAAACCATATTGCTAAAATGTAACAAATGTGTCATTGTGTATTCATCTGGATGACAATTAATTGGTAATTGATACAGGTAAACATGTGTCTTATGGATCCTTATATCTGCTGTGTTCAAAAACAGAAAGTTCAGCTTCATCCTACCCACTTCGATAGGCTTTTTATAAAAGACTCTCACTTTTTCTTTGTTGGTTGACTGACAACTAACAAGGCAAAATCCTACAGTTATATCTATAATAATTAGCCAACTAGTATATGCTAAACGAAGGTATTGTATTTGTACTAAGGATCATCAGTTGGCTGATTCCTATTAGTTAAACTCAATTAAGTAATAGTAGCTGTTCTGGTAATAACAGATTTGATGGTTAGTTAATAATTATTTAAATTAGAGATTATTTTAAATTCATACAAAAGGTATTTTTAAAATAATCTCCTTTTGGTCAGAGTGCAAATGGGTAGATTTTTAGAAATCTGCTTTTAGGCCAAGTACAGTGGCTTATGTCTATAATCCCAGCACTTTGGGAGGAGGCAGGAGGATCCCTTGAGCCTAGGAATCAAGACCAGCCTGGGCAACACAGCAAGACCTCATCTCTACAAAAAATAAAAATAAAAAATTAGCTGGGCATGGTGGCATGAATGGTAGTCTCAGCTACTCAAGAGGCTGAGGTGGGAGGATTGCTTGAGACCAGGAGCTCAAGCTTACAGTGAGTTATGATTGCACCACTGCACTTCAGCATGGGCAGCAGAGTAAGACTGTTTCAATCAATCAATCAATCAATAGATAAAATCTGCTTTTGGGATTTAAGTAACCAACCATTGCTTATTATTTTGTTAGGCTTTCTACCCCTTTGATCTACTAACAATGCCTAATGAAGTCAATAGTCAGTGATTAATCAGGCATGATCTATGAATAGTTGACAAACACTAAGCAGTTAATGGATTTTAGGTAAATGACAGGCAGACTTATTAATATGCAGATTCTATTCTGGGAACCCTCATTAGAAGATACTGCTTCATCTTCACAATGTCAAACTTGCTTCCAATGGATAAATTATCATGATACAAAAATAGACTGCAGATAAAGCCTTCAATTCTACTTAGGCAAATCCAAGAATAATGTGAGAGTGTTACTTAAACGTACATTTAGAAAAGTCAAAGATTTTAAGGAAAAATATATAGTTTGAAAACATATATTATTTTTCTAGATTTTTTTAACATAACACTTACATAACAAATACTTATTTACACTGATCAGGCATGTGAAAGAGTATTCTAGATTCAGACTCTTCAAATCATGCTAAGGCTCACGCTGAGCTCTTAATCAAGCCATGGCATAGTCTCATGATCCAGTAAGAGGTGTCATTCACAGTCTCCTTTATTCTCATTTGTTTATCAGGCTAGCCCAAATCTTACTGTATCTCAATCAGTCTGAAATGCCAACTTCACATATATTACCAGTCAGCTAGATTATCTCTCAAAGACAAATAGAAAAAAATAATAATAATCCTGTTTCCCAGAGATTTTTTTTTTTTTTTTTTTTGAGACAGGGTCTCACTCTGCTGCCCAGGCTGGAGTACAGTGA